CGGCCCGGATAGCTCAATAGTCCATCAGGGAGCATCAGTTCCCTCATCATTATAGGCGAACCTTGCTGAGGAGTGCCAAGTAGCACGAAACCTAGGTCCAGGGTTTCCTGTTGACTACCTCTAACCACCATCTTATCTCAACAATAGTAATCTATATTTTGCATTATTTCATAGAATAACTTATATAAATAGTATGATTATAATAATGATTATTATTATTATGTTGTTATGAGTGTAATACCTATTTACTTCCTCCGAATCATTTTTTTCAACATAAGATTACTGAGTTACAATTATTTATTTATTACTATATATTAATGTGATTGTTTATTGTAAGCAAGTTTTACTTCTTTCCTATCACTTTACTCAATCATTGATTTGTGTATTAAACGTAATCTTCCAATAATTTGGTTACATGTAGACTAAGTAAATGATTATCTAGTGAGTTAATTGATAACTATGTGAATATTTTCACGGTGCATTAAATTGACAACTATCAAAATTATTGATGTGATTTCCCCTTCTCTTGTATATCTAATTACCTACGTTTATTTATCAACAAAAGTAGATTTAGTGACATTAACTACATGCGAATATAAGTGAAGTGAATAACAGAAGAACTAACCACGTACAAACTGTAAGCAACATATTATCGTTGAAAAAAAATATACACCTATGATAAAACTTTATGTTCTAGGATTGTTTATAGCAAATACTATCTAAGAAGTACTTTAAAATTTTATTTCATACAGAATTATTTCTACGAAAATAGTCTTAACAACACAAATACTTTAAGTTTTATATGTTTCACAGTTATGAAGTTTTTTTACTTTTGATATATAGTATAAGTATTTTATTTTATTTGAACACATAAATATTGGTACAAGAGGGCACCAAATATGTATGCGCCACATATATTCAATATCATTATATTTGTGTATGGGTTGTGATACTGCTCGGGTGCCCAGACCGAAGCAGGTGGTTTTCTTAGGGGGCCACACCTCGAGCCTTTGACCTAGGGGCATGACCAACAAGGCAGTGGAGCATCGTGAGGAGATGTATTCCCATGGTAGCCGGTGACCAACGATTGGTTCATACGCCATTTGTTCCCGCAGGATACTGGAGCCCATGTGCACCATTGGTTTGGGATCCGGCTAAAGCGCCGGACATTTGCTTTTCGTCCTCCCATTTTCGTAAACAACACCCCCGCCACGAGAATTAGTATATCTCAAAAAGTTATTAACTATATATTTACCAACAGTTACTTTTCCAATGATAGAGTCTTTTCATAATAAGGGATATACATATTTTCAGCTAAAATAATGATTAATGTTCGCTCAATAACAAGAAATAAATAATCTCACCGAAATCATGAAGCGATCAATCCTAGACCGCCATTAAAAACCTCAAAAAAACTGAATGGCCGTTTCATTCTAGTATGGGCTCCCTCAGCAGTGCGCATCCGCGATCCCACACCCGAGATTCGAACCTACTATCTTCGGTCTTGTGAGAACGCTTAAACTTCAGACCACTGAGCCGTATCGGGTGTGAGGCAGTTATCAATTAAAGACAATGAAAGATGGTCAAGCGACATCGTATATTAGTTAAAGTTAAACATCAACATCACTGGTTACCGGTAGATCAGTGGTCTACAGTTCAAGCATTCGCACGAGACCGAAGGTGTTTGGTTCGGATCTTGCGGGCGGGATCGTGGACGCGCACTGCTGGGGAATCCTTTACTAGGATGAAACGGCCGTGATGTGCTTCTAAGTTTTAATAGTGGTCTAACTTGGATTGGCTCATAATTTCAATAAAATTAAACAGTCCCCACAACCCCAAACTTAAAGTAAATTATTGTTATAAATTTACAAACTATGCATTACATATTTTTTGTAATATCCTGTGATATTCTACAAAGTAAGAGGAGGCTGATTATTGAATAATAATCAGCGTGTAATAAGCCGATGAGAAATTTTCTTATATGAAAAGAAAATAAACATTGATCTGTCACTTAAAAGTTATCAGTCTAGGGGTTGTAGAGATTGTTAAGTTTTTTTGGTTGAGATCATGAACCGGTTGATGCTAGACCACCATTGAAAACCTGGATCGCGGATGCGCACTGCTGAGGAGTCCCACAATAGGACGAAACGGCCGTCCAGTGCTTCCAGGTTTTCAATGGTGGTCTAACATCAATCGGTTTATGATCTCAATAAAAAACTTAAAAGTTAACTTAAACTGTTTCATTAAACTTATATTAATCGAATGATGTGTAGAAAAAAAATGCTTCCTGTACATCTGAGGTACTGTTGAATTGTACACGCAAGTCAAGGACGGTTCTATATAGAACAGGAATTAGTACCTGACAGTAAAGTATTTGGACTGACTTAAATTCCTCAACTTAACATCGAAATAAGAACAAATCAGGAAGAATGCAAAAAAAAAGTCATGAGAGATTTTAATAAATAACTCTAAAGAAAGCAATACAAAATGCAAGTTTGAAAACGAAGTTGAATGTTTAAAGTATTATCGTTTTTCAGAGCCGCAAACATCCAACTGGATAAACTGTAACTACTATGCCTGGTTTAAGGCTAAGCATATCAGTAGTTGCACCTGTCTATAGTAGTTGTTTTTTTCTGAGAAAAGAACTTCTACGCTTAAAATCGAATTAATAGTGTCTTTGGTCATGAGGTATACGTTTAAACTACTTCGGTTAATAAAGCTTAGTGGCCTAATCATTTGAAGATAATTCAGTCATCTAAATTTAGTGACAGGTAAATAAATTGATTTATTAAATAATAATTTTCCATGTTTAAACTAATTATTGATACGCAAATTTCTTTAATCTACCTGTTATTAACTAAGATATGTAGCTTAGGTGGAGCTTTGTTCTCCAAGCTGGACACTTTGGTCGTGGAGCTTTCATTGTTCTTTTGAACATCATCAGCACAAACTTCACGTAGATGTAAAGTGTTTGAATTTCTCTTCATATGACTCCTCGATCTTGATTAGTTATTGTCGACCCTTAACCTGCCATTATGTACTTCTTTATTTTGACTGTATCCCCATTAATTTGATTCTTGGTCCTGGATTTGTTCATAATTTTCCCGATTGGTTGATAGATTGGATTGGTTTCAATGTGTTTGTTGATTACTGATTGACCTGAGTGCCAAGCTTCTAAAAATTATCTGGTGATTTTAGAATTCTTTTTATCCAAGATTTCAACATTGTCCCAGTCGAAACATTTCTTTACCAATAAACGTGAGAGTCAAAATAGTCTTTCTAAATTAGAAAATTTACTCGCATTTGTATGGCCGACATAATGTTTCACTCATGAATTCTATACACACCTCAATCTAGACTAGTATTTCCTGTTTTCAAACCTACTGATTAACTTAAAAGTGATAAGATACTCTAACGTTTGTCAACTTATAAAGCGATCTTGTACAATAAAAACTAGACATCACTTAATTGAGCTTCGAAAATTGGTTTGAATGAAAAGCTTATAAAAATTCTATGGTGTTATATTTTCTACCTTTTGTCCAAATGGCAAACGTTTTTTCAGTTGAATTCATGCCCAAAACCAACTACACGCATTGATATAAACAGTACTTGTCCAATATTTATGACAAGACTAAATCCAAAATCATCATGTCACTTGTTGACCTTCTTAGGTTTCAATAATTTGTGACTTGAAAAGCGATTTTCTATAATTTCAATAGTTGAGATCATGAGTCAATTGAAGCTAGACCGCCATCAAAAACCTGGAAGCACTGGATGGCCGTTTCGTCCTATTGTGGGACTCCTCAGCACTGCGCATCCATTATTAAACTTAACTTGATATGAAATATGTTTGGTAATAAATATTATAATAGAAATAATAAAGACTTAACACATTTTAAAGTAGAAAGAATAAAACAGTGAGAGACATGATTGTTCAACCATGTACGAATCGTCAAAACTATGTTAATATAAAGTGTAAACTTTATTTCTAACTACAAACAGTTTTTTAACAATTCTGTTCATTGGAAAATTTCGCATCATAATTAACATGACTTTTTAAACGTCATGTTTTAAGAACTCTAAATAAACACCACTAACCATTTATTCTAAACTTGTGAATGGCGCTTGTTTTGGTAAACAAATTAATAATTTTGGTGCTCATATTTTATAGAGATTTCCCCGAACTTGTTATATCGAAACCTCGCCGGTATATTTCAAATAATAACATCTTTTAGTTTACATCACAGACTGATCCCAGCCCTATGAAGGATTGGATAGTTGTTTCGTCTTAGTATGGGATTCCTCAGTAGTGAGCATTCATGAATTTACAACAAGGTATCAAACTCAGCACCTTTGATCTACCAGCAAGCACTTAGCCTGTAGAAGATTAACCCCACATCGAATGGTTTACATTTTTGATTTCCTTCAATTCGTGGTATTCCCCGAATATATTTCACCACATGTGATGAATAATTGTCTCACACCCGACAGAGTCTTAGTAGTTAAGAATTCTCAATAGAACCCTTGGAATCATAACTCAAAATTAGTCACTAGCAATACAGAATTTAGTTGAAATTTACATTTTGGGATTTTTGAGTGAATCTTTTTTAAACACTCTACACATAAAAACCCACACAAGGAACAGCTTATCTTCGTCACAAGTCAATTTGTCATTTTCGTGTGACGATGAAATGTACTAAAATAATTAGGTTAGTCTCTACTACTTACAAACAGTATCGTAAGTCACATTCATTATATGAAATGTGTTACTTTACAGAGCCATTTCTAACACAGGAAGTGAAAATACTTTAGAAAACTACTCAAGGAAAACATCAACAAACTGAGTTTACTGAAAGCGCTTGAATGTTATTTTGATAATTTGGGAAAATTAGTTTCTAAAATTTTATTAGATTTATTTTTTACTAATGTCGTCTCATCATGACCACAGAATATGTATTTATGATCACTGATACAAATGTCTTTAATACTTTTGTGCTTAGGTTACACGTAATGGAATAGCTCATAAGTCTGGACTCGAACCTGGAGATGTAATATTGAAAATATGCGCAACTCCGATCACTGGGATGATCCATGCCCAAGTGAAAGCTGAAATTTTAAGAGCTGGTAACGATTTGGATTTTATGGTTAAAAAGTAAGTTAACATTTTATTTGAATCATGTTTTTCAACGTTGTTGAATAAGTGATAATTAAAATGTGATTAATGAAATTTATGTTGTCCAATATTCAATGCTAATGATGGTTTATTAATTGTGGTTAGTTTTATAGTATTTAATCAACTGAAGTTAGTTAGTTAGATTTATCTAACCAAATCCTGAATACATTTCAATTTAATTTAATTTAATTTGAACACAAATATTGATACAAGGAGGCACCAAATAGATAAACGCCCCAAAAGTCACTTGATTTGTGTGCGGGCTGTGATACTGCCCGGGTGCCCAAACCACAGCAGGTAGATTTCCAAGGGGCCACACCCGGAGCCTTCGACCTAAAGATCTGATCCACAAAGCAGTGAAGCAACGTCAGGATATGAAGTCCTATGGTAGCCAGTGACCAACAATTAGTTCATATGGCTTTTGTTTCCTCAGGATCCTAGAGCCCATGTGCACCATTGATTTGGAATCAGGGTGGATCCTTCGTGTCCACCAACTCGGTTAAAGCGTCGGACATTCGCTTTTCGTCCTCGCAATTTCGTGAACAACACCCCCGTCACGAAAACGCAGTGAGTAGGATTTCCCTGACATTGGCTGTATACGCGTGGCCATGTGAGAGTATTTGGAGACGGAGAGCTGACTCTCTTCACCCTCTGTCGTATCAGGGCATTTGGGGGCGATCACATTTTTAGTGAGCATTATTTTAGGATCTTTAAAACAGTTACTGCTATGAAAAAGTCATTTATTGATTTGCATTTAAATAACTTAGTAATAAGTATCATTCCGGAATGAAAATATGATTCCTTTTTGTCAGGTGTTATTATGAAGAGAGATTCGGTCATTAAAATATTCATATAAGAACTGTTCGCAAAATTTATCACCGGTACTTTACATCTATGTCAAAGTAATTTAATTAGCCATCACTAGGTTGCATATCACTTTGTGAATCCTGACCACCTATAAGTAGTGTATTGATTGTTGAAATACTCCAAGATAAGCCCTTGAATTGAGCGAAACATGTATTGAAAACTTATCAGTTCAAATATATAAAACTGTACAGCGATAATAAGTTGTATTCTGTGAAAATAACCTCTAGTATTAAAGACATGAACAGTACGAAGCTAGAGTCATTCAGGTAACTCACAGTACTTTATGAATGTTAAATAACTTCATTGGCTAATAAACATTTAGAAAGCTTTTTCTCAATCTGATGAACATTATTCACATATCATTAGTAGAGAAAAAGGGATGTTTTACGCTTCAGACATATCTATTTACCGTATTTTTTACTTTTTACAACATCAGACAATATGCTTTAAATTCTCTGGTATAGATATGCGTTTAAGTTGTAGTTTAAATAGTTTACCAGTACAGTTCTTTACCATAGCAATGTACTTGATAGGTTTAAACCTCGAAATGAATATAATTCTCTTGATTTTGCATTTATTCTGCTTATTAGCACCAAAATTAAAACTTGAATTTATGACTCAATTTAAATAGTTTTAGAATACATTGATAGTCAACTCATCTGTTGTCTAAGTAACTTTTCTTATCCGCTTAATCAATATATTCTGATATTCAACATCATCTAAATCAAAATTAGTAATGTTTTCGTTGATTACTTCACATAATAGGGCAGGTTACTATTAATGGCCGGTAGAAAAAGTACCGTTTATCTTAAGAAATTTAATGTCATTCATTTTTCAGAAAATTTTGTTGAGCCTTTGTCAGAAAAATAATCTAATTATGTAAGAAAAGTGTTTATAATACATTAATTTGTAACTAAGTAATTAGCACTGTCATGTCTGTCTAGTCTTTAGTGCTGATCATATTCTATCGATTAAGTTGTAGTATAGTCACTAGTCTAAATAATCCAATATTACATAAACTATGTTTTGATAATAGATGATTATAGGTAGACGATAGACATCCCAAATTAAGGTTTCATGATAATTAGTATTAATCAATAAGATAATCTTGCGGGAATAAAACATAATACAAATGATATATATATACATATCGGGAGATATATTTTCAGACGCCGATTTGTTGGTCGTTTCTTCATTTACACTATATCGAGAAATGATTCCGTGTAATTCTTAGCTACCTATCAAGTGAATTTACGGTAAAACGCATCATTCATCTAAAAACCTTTTGTTTAGTATCCCAAATTTTGGAAGTTTACTCATCTTTACACTGTTCAAAGCATAAACAAAAAAGAAGAGAAACGATATTTAAAAAATACTTGATTCTGAACTTAATGTTATCACTAATATATTTTCTATTTATTTTAGACGTGATTTCAATGTAGTTGCATATAATCAAACAATGCAACAAATTGCTGCTTCTAATCGACCAATTGATGTCGCTTCAAATTCACCTGAACCACGTGCTGAAATAGTTGAAGAACATTTATGGCGACATGGTGGTCCAACATTTAAAAATGTTCAACCAAAATCATATAAAATCCTTGAACAACAATTACCGCAATCAAGTATGGGAGGTAAGTGATAATATTAACTATGTTAAATTATCATTTTATTACTGATTACTCTATTTACACACAAAATACAATGTATTTAGTCATGTAAAAGTAAAATAAATTTTATTTTATTGAGAATGTTTATCGGTCAAGGCATAATTAAACTGATGTAAAACGCTGATTTTACAATCTTCTTATTCTTACATCATTAAGAAATATTATTAATTAATGAATGGGTTTTATTCTTAATTAATTGACGTTTTAAAATACAAATTCATTAGTTTAATTCATAATGTCAATAGTTGAGGTTATAAGTTAATTGAAGCTAGACCATCATGGAAAAGCTGGAAGCATTGGATGACCGTTTCGTTCTATTGTGGGACTCCTCAGCAGTGCGCGTCCAGGACCCCGCTTCACAAGATTCGAACTCAGGACCTATCAGTCTCGCTCAACCACTAGACCACTGATTCGGCACCTTTCTGATACTAATTCGTAATTACTGATTATAAACCAATGGTTGGAGACTCTTGGTGACGTGGCTCAGAATCGATCACAATGGCGTCGGTGTATACACTCTCTGTCTTCCCTTAAACTAAGAGATTAGAATCGCTTCATATCTTTCTTTCTTCCTGTACTACATCCTTATATGCAATCTTTCTTTTATATATTACCACCACTGAATTAACTACTCCTATAAATCCGGTGTTCATCTTGTTGTGTTAATGAGGTATGGCAACTTGGACCGATGCATATATGTGCCATTGTCCTACGTTGTAGCTGACTGGCTGATTATAAACTAGATCTTGGTAATGATTCCGAATTATATTGTATTTAATTAAACGTAATTGTTTTATAAAGTTGGTTGGTTTATATTAATTATTTATATAATTCTGCTTTCCTATAAATCCTGATCAAATGTGGTAAATCAATAAAGAGAATGTACTCATCGTATTTATTATTTTGAATAGAACTAATCTGTAACATAATGAAAATTTACTTCACTATTATGTATTTAATAAAAATATCATAACTTAATTAATTTCCAAGTGGGAAATAGTAATTTGATAGGTAATGATACGTGATTTTCAATGTACAGCAATCATATATAATAGAGTTGAAACAGTTGCTTAAATACATCTCAATGATAACCGAAAGATTATGTTCTAAAATATATTTAAACAGGCAGGAGCTCGACGAATTCAGTTTTTTTCTAAAAAAAAACTTAACATATGTTAATCAATTATTCTAATGATTCGATTTAAGCGAGAGTATAGTAATACTAGAAGCTAAGGAATCTAAAATTTAACTTTACACTATAATTTATTTAATTTCGACAAAAATATCTAAGTTTTAATCGGGATCATAAAATGATTAATCCTAGTCCATTATTGAAATCCTGGAACCATTGGATGACTGTTTCGTACTAGTATAGGACTTCTCACTAGTGCATGTCCACAATCCCGCACATGGGACTAGAACCCAGGACCTTCGATCTTTCGTACGAATGCCTAACCTTGAGAGCATTAACATTGGCATCTATCTGTGTTAATTTCTAACTTCAACCACTGTTGAGGAGTCCCATACTATGACGAAGTGACTGTCCAGTTCTTTCACGTTTTCAGTGATGATCTGACATTGATCGGTATATGATATCAGTTAAAATTCAACAATCTCCACAGCCCCATAATGTAAAAAATCTGAAATCAGTAAAACCTAAATAACTATTCAATTATAAAAGTTAAGTTAAAATCACGAACTGTCTGGTACAATGAGTTTAACCATATTTAGTAATATTACATAGAAGTACTGTCGTTATTCAGTAGATAAATAATCTCTCAAAGTGCCTGTAGTGATCTACTTTTATGAAGAGAATGCGATTGGTGTGACGGAAACATTTATTATTCTAACTAACTGTACCAGTGGTTGTTTCACTGTACCTTTTTGTTTAATTGTACCAAAAACACCTTAAACTTACTCACGTACGCACGGTAGTATCGCCAGTAAACTTTGGCACGATCTCGGTATTATTTTGATAACACGAGATCACCAACAAATATATCCTATCTACAATTGTCCTTCTAATATTTATCCTACGGAGGGATATAACCTGGTAATTGGTACGTAATCGATCTGTAGTGGTGATCATAGTCAACTGCGAATCGACACTACCACATGATTTCAGTCAATGACATACTTTTTGAATTACTATTTATAAAGAATTGGTACATATGAACGTCTATTAAGAAATAGATCGAAGTTACAATAATTAGACTAACAATAAACCACTTTAGATACTATTCATTTAACAAATAAGTAGCATATTGAATAAATTCGTATTTTCAACTTCATAACCAGTTTGAACTTGTTATTAACCAACTATATTAAGGTTAATCATAAACGTTCAAGATATAAAATTAAAGGAAAAAGTGTGATAAGTAAACTGAATGCATAAAATGTTAGTGCAATAAACGTTTGATGAGTTATAAATCATTTGAATGTCAAATAAAATTTAAATTATTCGCAATGGCTCATGAAAAAATGATTGTCAGATTATTGACTTCTCAAGCACGCGTATTTCGTACAGGCACATCGGATAAATAATGAAGTTTTTGTAGCCTTGACACGTATTAAGGTGAAGTAGGCTATGACGGAACATGTTATGTGCTTACGGGTGAATAGGTTTGAGATGAGTTACCAAGACTCCTCTGAGAAGCTGTGACTGATGGAGTTCAGCCATGTTGGAAGTATGGTGAATATCATTAATGGGATGGGATAACAATCTAATAATGTCGCGAATAAACAGGAACGTTTGATTATAACTCAGTGTTCCAAAAGTATATTGAAACTCATAGGTTCAGTGTTGTATAATTAACTTGTTACTAACTACTGTGGAGCTCTTAGTTATGACAAAATAATTGTCCAGTGTCATCTAGCTTAAGAAGGTGGCCTGGGTTCATAATAAAATAAATTAACAATTTTAGTCTAAATTATTTTATGTTAAACTAGTGAGTCTGTCATAGTAGTTATAGTTTTGCTGCTTCATTTTATTAGAGGAAAAATGTGAAATCGAGAGACTGGTAGCTTTATAGATAGGGAATTGATTTTGTTTAATCTCGTAGCGATTTTTATAGATAAATTCGTTAAACAGCTGTTTCTAAACAGTTAACGGATTTGAGAGGATCTCATTTAACTAACCAAAATATTGTGTAAGAAATGTATTATGTATTGATAAAGGGAACAATAATGTTGAAATCAATTACTTCTAGGACTCTGTAAAAGTTAAAGTTTTGAAATGTTGTATCTTTAGATAACTATGTTAGATTACATAACTCGCTAGCACATCGTTTCCCAAATAATCTCTTTAATTATCAATCAATGTGATTGTAAACATTTAGCTCAAATACTAGTTGATTCAGATTGACTTAACTTCACTGAAAGGTAAAGCTTTTCAATACAGGTACATCATTCTTTTTCACTGATTATTCAAAGTTCAGGAAAATCAGGTTTTTTACAAAGGTATTTGTGCTTGACAGTTTCTTCCTTAGGTTAGAATGAACAACCTTTCATTCAATATTTATTTCCGAATAATTTCGTTAATCTGTTACAAAAATTCCCATTTTGGTTGTAGCTAACAATTATGATATAACAGGTAATGTTAGTATGGTGGGTTATTGTTTTATGTTCGGTAAATTGATTCAATATATTCTAGCATTGGCTACATAAACAAATATAGTAGAAGTTTAGTTATTTCGAGGTTATAAATGAGCTGTATTATTGAAATGGCTTATTTTTGGTGCTTTAGATAATAATGAATTAATGATCTCATATTACAATAACAATTCAAATAGTTTTTATTTCGGACTGAATTCAAATAAACAGCTTAAGAAAAATTGTCTGACTGTATTTTGCATGTTTAACTTACGGTAACTAATAGCTTAACAAATTTTTGCTTATAAACAAAATACTCCATTTTATGTTGTCTAGTTTTCAACAAAAGATTGAAGCTAGACCCACTGTACTTCCAGGTTTTCCATGGTGGTCTAGTTTCAACTGACTCATGATCTTAACCATTGAAGATACTATAATATCCACAAAACCCATCTGATATTAGTATCCGATACTAATAATGTTTAGTTAACAACTGATCCCAATTAAACAGATAAATACTCTGTACATAATACATTTGATGATGAAGTAGTTCTTCTACATTGCCCTAATTTCAATTCACTGTTAGAATAGAAATTGTGAATGGAAAGATTATCAATGATGTAACATTTTGAAATGCATTTTATTCAAAAATATTATAATACTATAAAGTACCAATTAGAAAAATAATATTTCTGGTTAGTGTTTTTTATTTAGCGAGTTAGTTTTCTACGGGATGGGGTTGCTAACCCCATGCCTACCCCACCCCTTTACCCGGGCTTGGGACCGTCAGTAACGCTAGAAGAGCTATAGGCAGAGTTAATTAGAAGAATCATAACTATACATAATTCTGCTTTCTGACTGATCAATTTTATATAAAAAGAGAAAAAAAATTATTTACTACAAAGTGTATTTAAGTTGTTTATTTGTAAATTTTTCGCATGAATTTTCGATTGCATGTTTGACTATGCTTTATGATAAAGATAAACTCTGAATAATGATAATAATTATGAATTCGCGGTTCTTTAATTTCATGCAAGTTAGGTCATATCTGAGCATAATTTTTATACTATTTAAAAATAGATCTGATTTTGTTAGCTTATATACGATTAATTTTAATGATGCAGACGGTTGAAATGAGTAAATGAATGGATAATAGTAATAGATGATATGCTTGAATTAACCGATATATATGAAATCTCACCATACCATTATGAATGTACTGGATAGAGAATATTAAGACTAATCATTGATTATAAAGCGGTTTATTGAGATAGGTATTTTATTTGATTAATTCAAGGCCTTATTCAAACAAGTTACTAAACTTCAACGGTTTGTTGAATTTTATCTAAATATTTTGAAACTTATGTATTTTATTTTCAAGGTCCTGCACCGGGTTCTGTATTCGATCGTAGTATGGATGAACGATCACCATATTTACAAGCTACTGAGCAAACTATTCAAAAAGCTTATGGCGAGTCCTAAGTCTACAAATTACCAGCTAAATACACATTTTCTTTTCTCATTGTTCCAATTAAACATACTGTGCCATAATCACCTGTCTTTATAATATATTCATTCATCTGCTTGATGTATTTAGATATTAAACTTTCTATTTATATTAAATTATTACTAACACTATTACTGATGGCATTACATCATATAATAAACCATATTACTCGCACCTTTTCCCCCTATTTCCCTTTCTGTCTATCTTTCTGTTCCCCAATCTATTAACTATCTAAATAAATTAAATAGTCTCTACTATGAAAGATTAACATCTTTACAAAACAGATAGAGATGAATACCCTTAAAAAGGAAATACAAATAATTAATTTTCCTTCTATTTTATTTTTTATACCTTAATCTTATTTGCTCTTTCAGTCTTCCTGCCTACACTATAAAAAGAAAACTAACTAAAGTTTCCTAGCTTAACGCCTGTTTTAATAAAGGTAATCGTTTTAATATTGGATAAATTGTATTTGAAATGTATGTTCTTTAGTAAAATGCAATACTTTACCATGTATGATATTAGACAAACAATAAAATTGTAAGAATTAATTATTCTGGGCTGGATTCCTTGGAAAAAAGGTAAACTATGCCAGTAAATATAGTTATTATCATTAGATAATAAGTTATGTTTTTTTTCTAACCTTTCACTAGTTAATTTTAGAGACCAATTCTTTTAACTTTATATTATCATTGATAGCGGAAAGGAAAGATTATTCATAAGTGAATAGAATCTACACTAATAGAATGTTCATCAAATCCTCATGAAACAATGGAACAGTTTTACCCAGTGTTTCTTGGTTTTCGATAGTACTTGAATTGTAGACTGTTTACACTCTTTACAAGTCTAAATTTTTAACTAGAATAGTAGAATTATCGTGAAATAAGAAAACATTTTATCTCGTATCTCTGTCTAATGGAGACTCTGAGATTATGGTCGAATTATGCTCAATAAGTCAAACAATCAACAATGTGTTATGTACTTCTATTTAACATGACTTATGTATTATCAGTCAGTCTTAAAATTCTAAATCTGACATTGACTGGCTTTCTGTGCTTAACATTTGTGCTTCGAAATAAGTTTCTTTATCCTGAATCATATATCTGATTAATAATGACTTTAATTTACCTAGGATTACATCATGATCAGAAGAACATAAGTTCCGCATTAAAGAACTAGCATTTATATAGACTCATTTACTTTAGATATTACTTCATATTTCTTGTTTTATCTTGATTTTTGTTGCGTTTAATCTTTGATAACAACAACAAATTGCTGCCATTGTAGTTTTAGACCCATTATATTAGAATAAATTTGGTATACACTCGTGACAGATTTTCGTAAAATTTTCATATTGAGTTGATGGAACACTTGCTCTGTAATAATGATTTTAATGTATCGAATAATCAATTAGACGGATAAGAACATTGTTCTTTAGTCAGAAATACAAACTTCCAACACTTCACATTGTTATATAATCAACTAATTGATGCAATTCGACAATTAAAACACTTTTGTATTAGGTCAAATTGCTACAAATCATAAGAAATCGGTAGAACAAAATTCGAGTAAAAGTGTTTATATGATGATATAAACATTTTAGTGGAGAATTATCACGAATAGAAACTTACTCGAAATGTACGTGATCCCAACTAATTTCGTTTAGTTTCTTAAGCCAGATACTTTGCTAGACCACTAAACGTGAACAATTAGGACATGAAAAGGCTAACTATGAGGTGTTTTGGGAGAATCGTATCTCAGGTATAGCAGAACCAGGTCAAATTCGAAACGCAGAGTAAAGTAAAAAGGTCAAAGGAAGTGCTAAAATAAGTTCCAAATCCACCAGTGGGCAGAAAAAGGAATTCAAAAACACACAATTTAGATATTTCACCACTCGCTGTTTCTATTTGTGTTATATTTCGAAAGTCGAACATTTTCAGCTCTCATTGTCGTGTCGGGTTTGGATTTCGTATGCCTCTTGGTAATTCTTATTACCATTCAAGCATTACTAGTTATATCTAAGAGTTCACCAAATTAAACTAATGGATGCATTCATTTTCCACAATTTATTCATCAATTACATCACCTGATTACAAACATGAATTCGTCCACTTCATCCTTAATCAAATGATCAAGAACATAGATTTATGTATCGACCTTTGCCTGAAGTTTACAAGATATCATCACTTCCATAATATTCAATATTATTTGCTTTGGAGATTTTGTAAAATTAAAATGTAACTGGGATCATAGGACTTACACTCAACAATTGGTGACCATATGTAACGTGGCTTTGCAGATGCAGTTATCATAATGAACTTTTTTCAGTGCTACAAAAAGGCCGTCATTTATCAGTTTTGACGGCTTTTTAATATCTTTATTCAATAGGTTTACTAGGTATGAAGAGTCCTCAAGGTTAGTAGTGATACTAGTAAAAAGAAGACGAATATTCATTTTTAATAAAGCTGGTACACACCGATTTTCCAGTCTTAATAAGGCCTTGAATCACAGTAACTCATTCATCGGTATATTAATTTTCACATTAATTCTTAAAGACAAATTAACGGTTATAAAAGTACTCACAATTTAGTAACAATGAATCCCAACGTTTTTTCCTTATCTTTGGAGAAATGCATGGCAAATCTAAGCTGTGAAAATAAACTCAGAGTGTGAATGAACGGTAAGCGTGATTAGCTTAAAAATATGTTGTGAGACGAGGGTCCAGTGTGTGCGGTAAACACTGGTTCCAGTGATGCATTGAAGATCTTTAACTGCTAGAAAAGTATCACTTAAGTTTTGAGTGAATGATCACGATAAGATAGATCCTTGAGAAAAGAGAGTCAAAGTTTGTCGTAATTTTTGTATGAGTTATATTCTGTACAAAATACCACTTTCAGTGCTACATTTTCTTTGTGTTAGAAAAAATATACTAACGTCACAAGGTACAAGTGTTGTTGTAGAAATGGATACTTACTTTAACTACTACATGTATTGGTGACAACTGTAATCTTGTACATTAGTTTAGTTTCTTCAGCTGGTCTGTCATCGATTGTTCTATCTATAACAATGATGATGATAATAACAATGCTATTCAAGTCTTTTTCATATCTATTATCAATATGTTTTAGTGACCTACTTTTATCAAAAGAACGCGATTGGTGTAATGGAAACAATTATTATTATAACCAATTGTACCAGTGATTGTTATTCTGTACTTGTTTGTTTAACTGTATTAAAGACATTCTTTGTTCCGTTGATTGTGACCTTGCATGAACTTACGTTTGCTCAGTAGTTCCGCTTGTACTCCTTTGGCACGATCTCGGTATTATTTCGATACCACGAGATCGCCAACAAATATATCTCGCTACAACTTTCAATCGCCGTCTGATTTCTGATTTACCCGGAGGTTTAGCCTGTTCTGGTACGCAATCTTCTTGCAGTGGTGATCGTAGTTAAACGCGACCCGGCGCCACACTACAAGGTCATCGGGACTAGTAATATAAATTCAAAGAACATTCTACTGAATGAATGTCAAACCGGCATAAAACAAATACTATACTGAGTGATTAACACATCAGATAAAAAACGACGGTGAAACAGAATAAAAATCACATTGTGTAAAGAAATGGTCTTTTCGTGCTATTGGTTCTAACCACACATCCTCAAAGCTAAATATGGGATAACTGAGAAAAGTCTAATTTAACATTTAGGACATAGAAAAGATCAGTAATGGTGAACGCGGGAACAATTAGTAGAAACGTCATGATTCAGTCGTGAAAGCATGGTCATTGTATATAACCTGTTGTTTTTTTTTGTGTTGAATATATTTCTCTCTTCCCAGCCCAAGTGAATTCTTCAGAATTACTAGAAGTTGTACTGCTAATTGTCATGATAGGACGAGTCAGTATAGACAAGGATATGGCTTCCATGTGATATCTTGTAGATTAAGTGGTCACATCATGACAAATTTACAATTCAAGGGTTCGATCTATTATTGTAGTAGCAAATATAAATGTACTAACATTGAACTAGATCATAATTTTGTAGTCGCTCGATTTTTATCGAGTTCTAATGGGTTTTCCGTTGTTAGATGCAGTGATTTCAAAACACGATAAGACTATGAAACCGTTAAAATTTCTGAAATGAATTCCGACGCTACTCTCTAATGTGTAGTGCCACTTGAGTCACAGAAGGCCACGTCGAAAATATTCTGAAGTAATTTGCATTATTTCCACATACAACACCAGTGAAGCAAGATAAGAAAGCTAATTTATAAACACAGGCATAAATACTCGTTGTCCCAGCTTACTGTAATGGGTAACTATGTACATGAACGTCATATTGTGCTTTTAAGGGTGGGAAAAGAAGGGACGGTCGATGTCATACGGATATAAAATATATTCAGTAAAATTATGAGATACATAACGTACCGACAAAGTCGTGATGGGTTGTGTTCGAGCTGAGATAATGGCTATTAGCCTAACATACAGATATATCAACATAATACTTGGAAATTTCCATATTTGCCGGAAATTTATTAAGAAGGTAAGCGTAACTTGATATGCATTTAAACAGTCGTAAGCAGTCACGAGACTTCTTGGTAGAATCTAATTTGTGTCTGTCGGTGCTAACTGAACACGTTACATAGTAAGCTGTAAATCATTCTCATTGTACTGCTTTACCTATTATTTACATGTAATATCAGGTATGCCCAATACTGTATTACAAGATACTAATTGTACTACAGAGAAATATGGGGACCTGCACGTAAAGCTCATGCTTTAACCTTGAGTAATTCCACCAACAAAATAGTTAAGTCACAGCATCTTCAGCTGAAGAAATACCCGAAAAAACCTGTTTTGAGTATCACTGATGGAGGTTTGCTGCTAACAAAGTCTTATATATTGAGTATGGAACGCGAAATTATATGCTCTTTGTTTATGAAGTTGAGTTAATCTCCTGGAAATGAACTCAC